ACCTTTTCGATGTGTCGGGTGAAATTTATAAACAAACGAATATGCTTACAGTTTAATATCCGTGAAGATATTAAAAATATACATAAGTGTATTTGAATATATTTATATAATATAGGAAGTCGTGAGGCTATTTGAATTAATCGCTTGTTTTATATTCACAGTTAATATTGCGTTAGGTTTTAATTGTAATAGTTTTTGTTATATTTGTCATCAAAACCAAATGATTTGAAGTCTGTAACGTAATTTTTACATTATAGCTTTGAATTCTTTTAGTTAAGAGTCACAAGACCCTCTGTTTTAAAATTAAACTAATCGATAAAACAATGTTTTGTCATTCGCCTTATTGTTTACACGATAAAGAATCTTATAAATAAGCATAATAAATTCGTATTTCAGAGAAAAATCCAGTGGTTTTGTGAAAATAATTTTGTTTGAACAACACAATATTATCCCGTTCTTTTTTTTATCGTAACCAACAAGTAGAAAGTAAGTTTCCGGGTATCTACTTGCCACCACTACCTACAGCCACCTCACTGAAAAGATTTCAATTATGTACAGACAGCAAATTCAACTTTTTTTGTATTTATTACCATTTTTTATAATTTTAAATAATACACATACAAAATGTTCAATCTCATGTATATGGTATATTAAGGCACAACACTGTGTTAAATCTCAAATTTCGATATTTAGCAGACACAAATGAAAAAGATCCGGTAAAGTGTTGCTCTTAAGGAGTGTAATAAATATAAGTAACTAGTTTTTTGCCCGCGACTTCCTCCGCGTTAGTTTGGTCAAGAGTAATATAATATGTAGGTATAGCTGACCAGGCGAACTCTATTCCGTCTTAGAGGCCATAAATAATCAGGTTTTTCCTGTTTCAATCAAACAAACGTTTGTATGGGAAATAAAAAAGGGCTGTTTTTAGGGTTTTCCCTTCAGTTATTGCAATTTTTCTCGCCTTTTAAACCTTCCCTGGAAGCCAAATCGGTTCAGCCGTTCTCGAGTTTTAGCGAGACTAAGGAACAGCAATCCATTTTTATATATATAGAAGATAGAAGATTAGTATGAAGAAATATAGGTGTGACTTTCTATACATATTTTTTAATAATTCCAAGTAGACTTAGGAAGGACTATCATCAACTACACTTACATTCAATAGTGATAAAATTTTATGAAAAGCAAAAAAAAATTTACTCAATTATATTAAATGTGAACTATAAGACTTTCGCAATGATACTTGACTATGGAGTTATATATATTATTCAAGAGGTATTGGGGAAAAACTATATAAATACATGTAGATATAAATATTTTACATACAGCAGTTCTTCTAAACTTGGCTTATTTTATACACATTGTACTGAATGCTTTGTTATCATAAGAGAAGAAAAATTATACCATCTTAATGATTTTGTCAAGAGAAAGTTAGTGTCAAAGCAATGAAGCTTTCACATTTACATATTCTGACAATTATTTAAAAGGTCAATAATTTTATAATCATTAAATTTTATAAGCGTTAAGTCATATACAGAAATTCTATGCAAGTATCCTTATACTGACAACGATTATAGAAAAGAAAATATGTAGTATTTAATCCACTGTCAATTCCTTCGGTTTTAATCTAATAATGTTTATTTTGTTTTAGGTTCTTTTATGTATATCTTTTATTTGGATTTTAAAAACCTATAATATGCTCTTTGTTTATTTTGTTAATTATTTAACAGTCCAACGTTCTATTTCAAGTTTTATACTTTGTATGAATCAACTAAAAAAGGTGTATCTATGTATGTGCTTATTTTTGTGATCCCCTTAAAAATTCTGTCAACAGCTTAATATTTATCATCAACAACTTAAAAAAAAAAAACAAATTACGCAATGAAGTAATCCAGTTGACCCAAATTCAAAGCTACTGCGGTAAAAAGTGTGGAGTGATGAGAAATACTCCAGATCAGTATTTATTATTTGTTTAGCTTAAATATTTACCTTACTTGGATAATTAGTTCTTAAACTATTCTGTAATTTTAAATCTGAAACAAACAGGATGGTTCTAATAACAGGAATAGTTCATTTCTCAAAGGATATATGTTTACCTCAAAATACGCATGCTCCTTTAAATAGTTTTTTATTGAAATTTAAATCCATGGAAGCCTTTCCTACATCCTAATATGCAGTTAAATTTTATTTTATTATACAACACTATTCTAAACATACGTATTTCCTATAAAACAAGAGAGGGCAACGAAAGAGAATGAATTGCTGAAATAAAACGTTAAAAATTGTATCCCTGTCCCTCAGTAAATTAATTCTCAATCTAAAAACAAAATGAATATTATTTTATGTAGTTTTCGATGATTTATATTTGTCATCCTTTAGCACAAATCGAACTGTAAGATAAAAAGAATCATTTTTAATTTTCATACATTTATACCGCAAAGGAGAGCTTAAATGTTTAGTAAGCTCTGGTCGTAACCTCCTTAAAATATATCACAACTCGTATATTCATTGAAGAGAGTGTGGACGGGAAGTTGTAAGCTCTTTACACTATTGCTTTATCTAAAAATGACCCAAAGAAAGTATACACTGAACATTGATTCTGAGTAACATCCTATGAAGATTTTAAGTTGAATATTTGACCTGGGTATTGAATAGATTAGAAAGCAAGCGAATTCAAAATAAAATTCAATAGATTTTTAGAAACTGACAGCTTCATTGTTACAAAAAGTATTTTAGAGATAGTGTATATAATAAATATGAAAACTTGTCTCTTTACGAAATAATTATTATATAGTTTTATTAAAGAATCACGAATTGTTAGTACCTGATACTATGTAGTACAACTTTTTAACGCATCTAAAATTTTTCAGTTAAAAAGTATCATTGAGTTTATTGTTTTCATTCAATTCATGTTAAAAAGGCAACATTTTATAATATTTTAAAGGCCAACAAAAATTTTGGCATTATATTACTTAAAATACCTCTTCGTTATTATTTATTAAAACGGGGAACTGATGTTTTTATGTAAACAAATTAAAAATAAAATCAATTTCATTGACATTCAATATTGGCTTCTATATTCCTTCACAACAATTTGTTCAAAATAATTGAGTCTATGGCACTTTTTTTATCAATGCTCTTACTGACAATATAAAAGTTTCAATACAAAAAACCCTTCACGAGAAATATCAAGTGTCAATTATTTTGGAAATAAGTATATTTCTTTTTGTTTTCGTTGTAGTTGTTATCTTTGATCTAACAATTGAAGAAGCGTTCGTATTAACGCAGATTGGAGAACGTAAATTATGTAGAATGGAGAATTTAAACCAAATATGTATGGGCAGTAGCAGTTCATACAACGTAGCTCATAACGTTGTGAAGTTGGCACTTTGACAAAGTCTAGACTAATATTTGTACAATCAAGACTAAAAAACTATCAGAGGCCATGAGCATCAAATCTAGCCATCGCCTCTTTGATGACTAGTCTGAAAACCGTCTTAACAACCATTGTTATTATTGTACCCACCAGCAATTTAGTTCTAAGAAGTCTACCGCTTATATTGACGAGTGATATTTACACTAGAACCTGTTGTAAATTCCTACACATACTTATAACTTATAATTATAGTGCAACATTTATTCAAATAATTCACTTAATTATGAATCTCAATTTGATTTTTGATTATGATAATTTCCTGACTGCGAAACGGTAGTTGAACGATTTGTCGACTTGGATGCTGTATGAAAATTTTTATATAATTTATAATTAATTAACTTCAATTATTTTAAATATTTAAATGAAACTTCTTTCGGGGAATCATAATACTTATAAAGAACATGTTGTTCGTGAATCAATTACTCATTAACAATACAACTTTGTGATGTCTAACCGATATACGAAGAATTTCGAGATTTTATCAATAAAATTACGTCAATACTTTCCTAATATGAGATTTTTTATTCATAATTTGAACTCCTTTGCATTTCTTTTTAATATTAAACTTGCTTGCCACCTGGTGATACGGAACACTAATAATAAAGAATATTTTAATAATTATAGATCAAGTTTTCTTTTAGACACTCTGGTCTTTATGAATCTTTAAAATATTGACTGAGAAATAATGTAAGAATATTGCACTTCTAGCGATACAAAAATTAAAAGGGTATTTCTCAAAAATTGGCGAAATTGTATTTCTGAGTCATTGCTGCTAAGTCAGATGATTTAATTATGGTTATTACTTTTTCATTTCAATTTTTGCTGTCCTATACTACTGTCGCTAATAAAGAAAACGTGAAATTATGAATAAAAAAATATATAAGCAGCAGCAACTCCGAAAATCATTCCCTCATCTTGTCCCTTACTCCAAAACCCTTTACTAAAAAGTCTGTTCGTCACAAATGAAACAATATTGTTATGACTCAAATATTGTGAACATATTAGAACGACAGTGTTAGAATTTATTTGAATTTTAATTGCACTACGATGAATATGTATAAATAAAATACTGTTTTAAATTATGTCCCGCCAAATAAAATTATTCCCTCATCGTTTTACGGATTATCGATTTCTGATCGCATCGAACATGATTATTGGACGAAACCAAAAGTTTTATTAAGCTCTCAATACTCCCTAACGTTTCAAAATGGCGATTTTAGCTCAACAATAGGTGAGTTTGTACAAAAAAATGTTTCGTTGAAAATAGTTAAGAATTAAATTAAAGGCACTCATTACCTCACGTGTCATATATGTTAAAGTTACTTTACTATACGTATTTATGTTTTATAATGTTTACGCTTTTTTGGGAGTCAAATTATAATTCAAAACCTTTAAAACAAATTGAGGTTATGTGCCGGTGTTTTTGTAATTTTAGTTAAAATTCGTCATTTCCTCACGGTTGACGGTTGTATGAGGGAATGATTTCTACAATATTCTTTTCGGTTTTTCATATATTTCCTTCAATTCGTCTTTCACTTTCTTTATAGGTATTTTATATAGAAGTAAAATGGCACGACAAAAAAAGTTGAGTGATGCAGAAAAGAAATTAAAAAAGAAAGAGTATGAGAGAAAAAGGCGAGAAAAAATGAAAAATAATGCGGAATATTTGGAAAAACAGCGAGAAAAGGAAAGGTTAAAATATATGAAGAAAAAAGAGAAGGGTCAAGAGAAATCAGTCACTGCTATGAGTGCTAGAGAATGCAGACAAAAACGAAAGCAGTGGAAAAAAAATAGTAAAGTATATAGGAACAATACAGCTACAACAGCACACAAAACTTTACATAGAATTCTTGATGATGCACCTCCAACAAGTCCGACACTAGTTTTGCAGCAATGTAGAGCAATGTACAGCAATGTAGATGTAGCTGCTCGTAATAGACGTTAGATGCGAAGGCGACGAGCTATTTTGTGTGCACGGATTATCAAGTTGAAGAAAGAAGTAACGAATGCAGTTAAGTTAAGCGAAAAATACAAGAAAAGATATTTAAGGCTCAAAAGTCAATAGATATTGATACAATCAATATAGATTATGAGAATCACCAAGTAACACTACCGTCTTCTTCGCACATTCAAGAACCTACTGATAACTCTGTTAGCCATCAGATTGCTGACATTAGAGATTATGTCCTGGTCAAATGGGACAAGTCAAGTTATCCCGGAGAGGTTTTTTCTGTTTTTGAAGATGGTTTAATGGTAAGATGCATGAAGCGGGGACTGAAGTTTTGGAAATGGCCTGCGATTAAAGACGAACAATTATATAGCTGGGAAGACGTTATAAAAAAATTTAAGAACCAAAGTTAATTAAGAGAGGGAATTACGTCATTACAGAGTTAGAAGAACTTTACGATAAATATCGATTAAATTATCTTTTCTTTAAATTACCAAAAATTACATGTGATGCATAAATACTCATACAAATTAATAGTAATAATAAGAAAACAAAATAAAACATGTTATGTGTCGGTATAATAAGTGGTCGTTTAATTAAAATATAATTATCTTTACACGGTGTAATCAGAGGACGCCTTAGCTTCTGAGTAAACTCGGCTATTCTACACGGGTCTGACTCAGCAGTTCCGTGTGAAGACAGTTTTTGGTTTTATATTTCTTTTATGTTTTTAGATTACAAGATTTCTTTTAAGAATTTGATTGAATTAATGTCACTATTTGTTCAACCTTCGTGCAACATAGTCACACCCTAGTTGTAACTTACTTTTAATTAAATTAAGTCAAATAATTTTGGTTTCATTGCATCCACCGACCGTCGAAATCATAATTAACATGAAAATATTTTCACGTTTAAGAGAAATATAAAGTACAAAGTTTAAAATAATGTGGTATCAGGAATAAGCATATTAGAGTTAATTACATTTTGTTACCTCCTGTTATTTATTTTTTGGAATAAATTTTGTTTGTTTTCTTTAACTATAAGTACAAAGTTTTAAGTTAAATTTGTTTAGAACAAGAAAAGTGATGTTAAATATATTAAAAGTTACATAATTTCATAATACTCGTATTATTATTTGTTTCTATATAATAAACATTAAAAAATTATTCCCTCACTCTTTTACTCATTCCCTTATTTCATTTTTATTTTTAACTCATTTTATATCTACTGTGGACAAAAATATGGAAGACTATGTCTCAATAATAAACCTTTTATAGCTACATTGTACATTACTGCAAAAAAAAAGATTATATGTACAAAACATTTTTCTTTCAATATTCTTGAAAATTCGACATTTGATAAGAAATACCCAAAAACGTATTTCAAACTTCATCAAAGAGAAATCAAAATTGAACAATGAGGCAATATCTGTCAGAGTTTATTACATTAATGTGGAATCAAAGGTCTTATTATTTTGCAGCTTTCATCATGGCCATTTTTAAAGACCAAACAAAATTGTATTCATAAATAAAGTAATAAAAAAATATTCTTTTTACTCGAAACACAAATATCATTCATTTAACCTTACAAGTTTTATGCAATGACTTAGTTCAAGTTTACCATGTTTTTCACAGTCAAAGTTTATCGTTATAAATAAAGACTTTAGCATAAACAAGCTTACCAGTTCGATCTCTGTATGTAATGATTTTTAAATATTCGAGTTCCTTAAACAATATATGTATGGACAACATCATTTATAAATCAAATAGTAATCAATCGCAATGTCTGGAATATATATACGTGTAGATAATGTTTGAAGCATATTTTAAAATTATCTAAATTTACTGATTTAAAGTCACAGATGAATATCAGCAAAAATTATCCAAGAGTGCAAAGAATTCAGCTGAGCCGACATATTACTTTGACGGAGGAGGGTAGATTTTACCCCTAATATTTCATTCTCTGGTTTTAAAGATAAAAGATATCATAATTAAAAAACTTAAGGGAAAATCACAAAAGAAGAATGTAACAAAAAAGTTAGGGAATCCCTTTAGTTTAGTTCTTTCTTAATATTCCCTTTATATAAATTTATAAAGCCGAACGGATTATAAATTAAGTTACTGCAACATAAAAATGATTATATGTCAAACAATATTTTTATAGAAGTGTTTACTTTTATGATCTTGAATATTAAAATAATTATGTTATCATACAAAACATTTTATTTACTTCTATAGTTCTCAAAAACTGCGTTAACACCTGTCAATTCACGACTATAGTACAATAACAAAACAATGAAAGTTTTCTGTTACGTTATTCATTGCATTCCTTATGCATATACAATAAATGTAAATTTTTAATAAAAAATATTTTTCAATTGTATAGTAATAAAATTTGTGGGTGGCTTGAATTGAATGGTAAATTCTGAATATAATGAATAAATAAAAGTTTTTTTTATTGAAAATTACTAAAAACATAATTTTAAGTTTTGAATAATGAAATTTGGTTAGGTACTGGCGGCTTCACTATTGTGCAGACAATCTTTTATTCGTATTTTGTAACTTTAACATAGCATTACTATATATCGTAAAAGAATTATAAAAAAAGGCAGTGATAAAAGGTGTGATAAAGAAGGGAATATAGAATAACTGATTTTCTCCAAAAACATGTTATTTCACAAAAGAACTAAAGTGAAGATCACTAACCAATATCTCATATCCTAACAAACCTAATATTCCGAACTAATTAAAAGCAGTCTTTACAACAAATTTTAAACTTTTAGTCATGAAATATGATTACTTTTACTATGTACTAGTAAGTTTAAGAAACTCTGTCCCATAAAAGAAAAAGTTTCGACCAGGTGCCTTGGTTGGTTATAATATGTACTAACTACCTACCATGGAATTTCTAAGTCATTAATTCCAGCAATTAGACAAATTTGCCCAAACAAAGTATAACGAAACGATACAATTATGAGATCTTTGTTATCAATCTAAAAGTAGCGTGATCTGTTTCAATAACAGACATACAATTGTCAAACAACTGATATCAGTTATATGTTATACGTACTCAGCAGAGTTGAAAAGAATGTATAATAAAATCAGTCCTTAATATATAATAACATGCTATGAATTTCTAGGTAAACTACTTGATTCTTTAAAATGTTGTAACTTTTAAATACTCCCTGTATTAGATAACATTATAAAATGCATAAACGACATCGGTAAAGCCAGTACTAGTTATAGCGTGATCAGGAAAAACAACCAAACCATGAGCATCAAAAATACTAAAAAAAACACATTCAAGAAAACCTGATGATACTTTATAAATATAAAATAAACCTTACTACCCTTAACAGTGTTGCATCTACGAAATAATTCTGACAAACTGAGCATTTGATATCAAAAGCGTCCATTTATGTTTGTACCTAACGTCATTTGTATAATAAAAATAAATTTACACTTTTTTAAATTCTAAACATACTCGTATGTACAGATTATAATTACGTAGAAAAGGAATATGTGTAAAATGCTTAAACATAATATGCTGTATTGTTTAACAAATACAAACTCGATTTTAATTTAAAAAAATCTGATGTTCACTGAAAAATTTTAGTAATTCAATTTTAGATGTGATTTTGACAAGGACTTCATATATTTTTAGATATGTAGATAAACCCTAAAACCAATATATAATTAAAGACTTACCTTCTTAAATATTGAAATATCGCTGCATTAAAAATTGTAGTTCGGAAAAAGTACGGAACACCCTATTTCGTATTCAAATATACATGCAAGAAAATTTGCCTTGTTATGAGCGCTGCAAGATTGCTTGGCTTTAATTTAATATAAAACAACCGTCGCAGTTTCATGTAATAATTTTAGGCATACAGCTGTTTTCCTAAACTTGGTTAATACTTTACTTGAAATTTTGTATCTCAGCAAATAAATTATAAGATTCTATCTCTTTACTTCAAAAAAAGTGAGTATGTAAGCGAATAGGACTCTGCGGACGATAAAACAGCTTCTTACCTGAAATAAATAAATAAATCGTTAAACGTATGCTATAATGGTAAGTCTGACCACTAGTCGCTTTTGTTAAAGAAACAATCTAGAAAACCTAGACAAAATGAGTTAAAAAATAGATAGTACCTTCACTTCCTATGAGATGAAAACTTCTCAGCATTCCATGTATTCATCGTACGGGTGTCGGGTCCATCGCGTTGCACAGAGAGGAGCTTCAACAGAGGGACTTGTTCAACGCTGTCCTCCACCGTCCAAGATCCTCTTTCTACCTAAACAAATATGAAAGTAAATTTCGTGGAAACGGTAAATAAGAACTGTCAGGACACTTGATATGGAACAGCTTGCTAATAATAATAAAATATATAATAATAATAATAAGTAATTAAGTGCCTTAATATTATAAACTCGAAGTTATACGACTTTTCGGATAGTAGTCTGAACAAATTGAGATTCATTATTCATTTATCAATATTGGTTAAACGTTAAATGTTTAAAATTTTCTCTTAAATTTATTAATGAGTGTCTTTGTTCTATATTTTGGGTTTTTAGGTAAGCATTTCTTATCTTAAGCTCAGCTCAGCTGAAGCAGATGAGGTCCATGTATATAGGACGTAAAATTATTATTACCTAGTTGACCTAAATCCGGAGCTATTAGGACAAGTTCGACTTAGGGGAAAAATATTCCCGATAGAATTATATACTTCTTTCACTTCCAAACTTAATTAATCAAAACAAATTTGATTCGTTTAAAATATTTATTTTAGCAGAGTACAACAATTTGCATATAAAATATTGAACATATAATGATATTAAAACAAGTCACTTCTCATATACTTTTATATATTTTTTATTGTACTCGTTTTTGGGTTACTTATAAAGGTCCACTAACCACTTTAAAACACTCATTAACTGTTAAAAATTTGGATTAATTAAATATATATTTATAATATTGAGAATTCTCTGAACAAGTTT